TTATTATCATAATATTTTAAATTATAAAACTTTTATTTTTAATTTTTTACATTTAATATCTTAGAATTTTTAAATAATGTGCAATCTTTATATAAATTAAATAATAATTAATTAATAATTTAAAATTTAATTATTTAATTAAATATCTTATTATATAAAATATATATATATATGTGTGTAATATATTTATATATAATAAATATTTATAATTTTTCTTTTATATATAAATTCATATTTATTTGAAATATATTTCATATATAAGTAAAAGTATATAAATATAAAAAAATACTATAATATATATAATTTTTTTATTTTAATTAATTTTATGTCGTTGACATATTTTATTTTGATTTAACATTATAACTACTTTTCTATAATTCTTTAATTAATATTTATATTTAAATCATTATTTTATTAAATATATTAAAAAAATTAAATTATAACATTTAATTTGAAAAAATGTCGTTTAATATTTAATATAATTAATAATAATATCATAACTATAGTATGAATAATATTTTTCCTATAATTGAAGCTTTATCTAATGAAGAAACAACTTAAAGATAATTAAATACAATTAATTCAAATAATAATTTTGCTAGTTTATCTATGCCTTAAGCTATTTCTTCAAAAAGTGTGGAGCAAAATCTTACAAAAAGCGAAAGTAACACTAATTAAGATATATATATTTAAGATATAACAAAATAAAAGCTACCAATTAATATATAATGTTAATACTGCAAAATAGATATAATAAGCAAAGTCGATTACGAGCCTTCAAAAAAAACACATTTATTATCTTTCTTTTTTTGTACTTTTGGATTTTCTTGTGGTCTATGTCTTATTCCTTATTATTTTGAAAATTAATTTTAAAATATTTTACATATTTGTCCTTTGTGTAACAAATAATTAGGAAAATATGAATTTTGATTGAACTTTTTTTCCATAATATTTTTAGTATTTTTAATTATATAATAAAATTTCATATGTTTATAATTAAATTATCAATAAGTTTTGTTAAATAAAAAATATTTTATATGTATTTTATTTATTTATTATAATTAAATACATTATAAAGCATATATAATTAACTGAGTAATTAAATATATATTTTTTTAATTTAAAATTATATTATAATTTTTTTTATTTTTATTCAATAAAAAAATCTGATATATTTCAAATAAATAATATTTATATAATTTTTATAAATTTTTATTTTTCATTTTTATTTAATTATATGTATTAAATTTATATATAAACATTTATAAAAATAAATACTAGAAATATTTTTTTAATCTAAAAATTAATCTGAAAAAAATTTTAAATTAATTATATTATATACAAAAAATTAATTTAATATTTATAATATTAAAGTTAATTTTTTAAAAAAGAAACAATAATTAAATTTATAATATATATAAAAAATTAAAAAGTAAATAAATTTTATAATATAAAATTATAATTTTAATTATTTTTAAATAAATCTATAATTTATGATATCTTATTGTTATTTTTCGTTAAATTTTTAAATTTTTTTGAATATATATTTTTTAAATAAATTATTAAAAAATAAATAAATAATTTTTTTTTTTTTTTTTTTTGATAAACAAAAAATATAAAAATATCTACAACTTTATTTTTAAGTATTTTTATTATTAAATAAATATAACAAAAAAAAACAATTATTTCAATTAATAATACAAATATGGATTAAGAAGACTATCCGAATTTATTACAAGATCTTTCTCCTTTACCTAATAGAAATAAAATATTTATAAACTAATGGATGTAGTCAAATAACTCTCATAAAAAAGTTCCTATTAAAAATTTTTTTATGGACATATTGATTCTTCAATTTAAAAAGAATAAAATTGTTAAAATAAATTAATAAATTATGTACATTCTCCACCAAATAATTTGGAGTAAATATTATATAAAAAAATTAATGATTTTAATATAATATTTTTTATTATTAATAAATTATTTAAATTTTCATTTTTTTCTTGTTTTTTTGTTTTTTGGGAAAAAAAAATATGTATGCTTGTATATTTCAAAAATATAATTTTTAAATTAAAAAAAAATTAAATTAAAAAATTAATAATAAACTATAATAAAAAAAACTATTATATATTAATATTTATAAAAAAGATTTATTAATAATTATAAAACACCAGATATATATAAATGCTTAATTAATAATAATTCTGGATCAATATAAAATATAAGTACATTTAACAATCCTGAATTTACGGATTTCTATCCTGAAAACAAAGTAGATAATAGTGGTTAAAGCACTGATTTTCGACTTTAAAATAATGAAAAGGCACCTATTAAATCAGAGAGTAATGTAAGGAAGCCATCTTTATTTCAAAAAATGATACATTAATAAAACAAAATACCTTAATCAGAAGACAGGTTTAATATAGAATAAATTTTAGAAAATATAAATCTTCAAACATCTATATCAAAAAGTGAATATTATTTGTAAAAAAATTTAACATAGGACAATAGTTAAGGTTAATTAGTTAAGAATGAAGAAGATAAGATAAAGATAGTAAAAAAAAAATATTAACAGAAAAAATAAACAAAAAAAAATAATGTTATAAAATAGTCTTAATACAATATATAAATGTAAAAAGAAAAAAAAGTAGAAAAAAATTAATTAGAAAATATTAATAATAAAAAAACTGATTAAGTAAAAACAGACATTTTAGACACTTAATAATTTCAAAGAAAAGTTGAATATTGCAAATGCAAAAAATCGCGATGTCTTTAATTATATTGTGAATGCTTTATAAATGGAACGTTTTGTAGTAATAAATGTATATGTAAATCATGTGGAAATAAATAAAGTAACTAAAAAGAAAGGTAAAATGCAATTGATGATACACGCTGTAAAAATCCAGAGGCTTTTAAGAATAAATTTAAAGTAGATTATGAATAATATACTGTCACACATAAAAATGGATGTAATTGCAAAAAAACTAGTTGCTTGAAAAAATATTGTGAATGTTTTAATGCAGGAATAAAATGTAGAAATAATTGTAAATGTGATTCATGTTGTAATACTGAAGATGGATTAAACCAAAATGAAATAAATATTAAAGAGATTACTAATAAAAAAATTTGTAATGAAATAAATATATAATAATAATAATAATAATAATAATAATAATAATAATAATAATAATAATAATATTAATAATAAATTTTAAATGAATAAAAAAATAATCAAATAAATTAAAATTTATAAGAATAATAAATTTAATAATAAAAATTTAATATATAAGAAAATTAAATTTAATTTAATATTTAGTAAAAAATTTAAAAACAAAATAAAAAAGAAAATCTAATATAATCATTGATGATAAAAATTAAAATTTTTAATTAATTTCATTTAAAAGAAAAAATAATATGAATTAAAAATCATATATTTAATAAAAATCTTGATAAAATATTTATGTTTGCTTTTACTTTTGAATCAAGTCGTCTACTTTTTAATTTTTTTTAATTTATTCTATTTTTTGTAAATCAATTATTTTTTTTTTATTTTATCTAATATATATATTTTTTTAGAAAAAATTTCTTACATAAAATATATAATTTATTATTTTTATTTTTTTTTTATATATATTTTTTTTATTTTTAAAATTTTTTAATTTATAAAAGTTATTAAAATAAAAATAATAAAGTAAATTAATCATTAATATTTTTAAGTATTAATTATATAGGGTTTTTTTAATTTATCATCAAATTTAAAATTTCTTAGAAATCCTTAATTCTTTCTTTTAGTATAATTAATAGTACTTGATAAAAATTCAAGATTTTCAAAGTTTGAATTATAGTTTTTATCAGAATTTAAATTATTAGAAACTAGATTTTTATCAATTTTATTTTTATTTTAATATGGATATTATTTTTAATTACTTTAATCTAATAATTAGAAAAGCTATTAAATATTATTTTAAGATTATATTTATTATTATTATTATTTTTGAAAATTATCAAAGAATTTTTACTTGCTATCATCGTTTTTTAATTTTTCTACTAACCACCTTTATTAATTTTTAGTAAATTTGTGTTCAATTTTAGCTTTTTATATATTTAACACAAAATCTTTTTAATTTTCTTCTTTTAAATCTTTATTTTAAGAAAACGATTTCAAATTATTATTATTAATTTTATTTTTCTAAAAACTCCTTAATTAGCAATCTACATATTAGTTTTTTTTAATATACTAATTCTATAAACATATTTATTTTTAAGTCCCATCTTTTAAATTATGTAAATCTTTTTTAAAACAATCTAATTTATAAGTTAGATTACTAGATTAAGGTCTTACATATATTGCTTATTTTGATTATTTTTAAATATCTTCTTCTTTACTAAAATTATTAAATGCTATCTATGTTGGTCTATTCATTATAATTCTTTATGATAGATCATTTTTTTAATATTATGTATTTGATAATTAAGTATTATTATTTGCAATATTTGTTTACGAAAAACTGTTATTTATTTTGATTTTTTATGATTCTTATTTTTATTATTATTTAAATGTATATTAATAATCTTTGCTTATTTTATTATTTTTAATTTAATTTGGTATATTTTTTTATAATTCATTTTGCAATTTTTTTGTCCCAGTAAATTCATCGTTTATTTATTATGCTGCTTAAATAAATATGCTATAGTCCAATTAATCATCCTTATATAAATTATTATTTTTAAATTGTTTTATAATTAATTTTATGGTAGTAGAAATAATTATATCAAAAAATATTAAATTTTTAATATACTTATATTTTTACTAAATTTTAAGGTAAAATTTTAATGTATCCTCCTTTATTTGCTGTTTCATAATTATCAATATAAGAAATACTACAAGCTTTTTATTATTCATCATTTTTTTTTATTTTTTCCCTTTTAATGATTATTTCTTTTTTTCTAAATATCTAAAAAATTATCATTTAATTAAAATAAATAAAAATTAAAATTACAATTTTTTATCTTTATTTCTTATATTAACTAAAATCAAAGTATCTAAAATCAAGTATTTTTTTATATTATAATCTAAAGGAGTATCAGTTGAAAAACTAGGAGTATGATTAACTTCAAGTAAAAAAGGTTTCAAATTAGAATCAAGTAGTATATCAAATCCAAATATTTCAAAGCACATTTGATTATTTTCAGTTTTTAATTAAGAACTTTTATACAAATGACTTAAATAAGGTTAAACACTGCACATTGTTTTATTAACAATCTACTTTATTTATAATATAACCTTGTTATAATCTTCACCTTTTTCATTTAAATACTTCAAAACAGATGAAAAACTTCTTTTATGTCCTTAATCTTCCTAATTAATATCTTAGTTAAATTAAAAATCCTCATTAAGTTTATTTATTGCATAATTTGTCAGATGCATACACATGTTTTTCAAATTCCCTTTTTTAGGCTTTACATATTTTATTGTTCCAAAACGTGCTAAACCTTCCCTATAAAGAAATATTTTTAATGGACAAACACTTCTCACTAACACATATAGTCTAAAGTCGAATTTTAAACCGTCTATTAAATATGGTTTTTTTATATATTCTTGAACTACTACATGTTAGTCATTTTCTTTTATTATTATTTTTTTAAAAAAATTTTTTTTTTTTTTTTTTTTTACTTATTTTTTGCATATTCTTTACTATATATATACCTTTGCCTTATGAACTAGCTTCTGGTTTTACTATTAAAACTGGCTTTTTTTACTTTTTTTGCTTTTCTTTTTCACAGTATTGTCTTAATTCTTCATATTAGTAAGGTAAAAGCCATGTTTTGGGAAAAAAATCATAATCTAGGGGGTATTTCTGTCTCATTTTCTAAAGATTCTTTCCTAAATAATTTTTTTTACCTAAATTATATGAACCAGGAAAATGGTTTATTTTTTAAAAAGGAAGCATTTTTCTCAAAATATCTTCACTGATATAATAGTCTTGCCAACTTATATTCCATTCTGAACTATTTTTATTTTATTATGTATTCCATTAGAATAAGGTAGTGCCTATTTCCTTTATTATATCATATTTAGTTCCTTTTTTTAAGTTAAAATTTATTTAAATTTATTTAGTTTTTTTTATTTGCCTGAAATATCTATTATTAGTTTTTTGTTTTTTTTTATGTTTCTTTTCATATGGATTAAATCTTACAAAGATATAAACTAATTGTTCAAAAACGAATGGATTTCAGTTTATTTGACCAGTTCTTATTCTTTTTCATTCTTTTCGGAATCATCGTCTTCATATTTATCTGTTTTTTCAATTTATTCTAAGTCTGATTATTATTATTATTTTAAGCATTTTGCTATTTTTATGTTTTAGTTTAAATTTTATTACATTTTAAATTTTATTTTCTTTAAATTTTTTTTTTTTTTTAAATATTAAATTATTGATTTTAATTAAAAATTTAAACATATACATTTTTATTTATTTTTTTCTTATAATTTTAAAAATATATATGTGACTTAAAAAATAAAAAAAATCTAACATTTATTATTTATAACTTAATCAAAATATATATATTAAATATAATAAAATAAAAAATCGAGTATAAAATTAAATGTATTTATAAAAATATGCATAAAATTCATATATTTATTATATAAAAAAAAGAAAATCTTTACTATTTTTTATAAAATACTTATATATTAAAATTAAAAAGGAAATTTTTAAAAATAAAATATTTTCATGTTTTTTTTATAATTTATTTTTGATAAAATAAAAAAAAAAAAAACATAAAAAATTAATTAATATTTTTTGTTTTGTTTATTTATTCTTCAATTAATATTTCTTTAAGTAACTTCAAATTATTTTGTTTCTTTTGCTAATTCAGTTAATTTGCTTCCCAAATCAGAAATATTTTAGTCAATTTTGTTTTAATGCTTTCTTAAAAAAGGTGCAAGTACTTAAGTGTAAATATGGGCAGCACCTTAAATATTAGGATGGAACATATAAACATAGAAAGTAATTTTTATCAAATAATAGAAAGGAATAAAGCTCAATAAATAATATAATAAGTCATCAAAAACAGTGAAAAAACTATACACAACCCAATAAGTAAGCCATTATTTGTCATCATCAGTTCTTTAAGTTTCTAAAGCTTTAAATGACATATAAGCAGGATAAACAAAACCAACTAAGTCGCAAATTAAAGTTTCCCAAATGCTACAAAGTACCAATAAAAATAAGAAAGTAAAGAAAAAAAAGGCTAATTAACTAGGTCTTAATTTTGTTTTTTCTGCTAAAGGTTATAAAACCTTTAAATCGTCAATTGGTCTTAATCCAGCTTTATCTATAAATTAATCTATTTATTACATTTTTAATTTTTTTTTTTAATTTTTTTTTATTTATATTTATATTTATTATATTTTTGTATTTTTTTATTTTTATTATTATATTAACTTTGAAATGACGTAATTGCATTTATTTTATTTTAAACAAATTTAGTTTTTTTTTTTTTTTTTTTTTGTTGAAAAAAATAAATAAAAAATAGGCATGAATTTGTTTATTAAGAATTTTATAAACTAAACAATTCATAAAAAAATAATTTATTAAATAAACATTTTTAAGACATAAAACAAAATTATAAAAAAAAAATATATATTTATAAGTATTTTAATATTATAAAAAATATTCTTTTTAATTATGCATATTATTAATTTGAGAATTTTTTTAAAAAAATCAACTTTTAAATTTTCACCTTAAAAATATCTTCAACTAATATATATTTTTTTTTAGGCATAACTATTCCGATTTTTTTAAATGGCTGTCAAAACTCAAACTTATTCTTTTTACTTATTTATAAATAATTAAAAAATAAATTTTTATAAAAAATAAAATTACTTATTTCATTACTTTTTAGATATTATAGGATTTATAACATCATCATAAAAGAAAAAAGTATTTATTTTGAATATATATTTGGCAATATTTATAATTAGGAGATATTTTTGATTTTCTATGTTTGGGACTTTAATTTTACTATCATTTATGAAATTTCCTTTAATATTCAACTCCCTTAATAATAACTGAACTATCGAACTATCAGAAGTAAATGTATCTATCAAAAGTTTAATATTCTTTTTAATCAAATAAACATTTTATATACAAAAATTAAAGGAGTTTCAAATAAATCTGTTTTTTCTATAAAGTTTATAGTATATTATAATATTATTTCGAATAAATAAACTGAGTTTTCATTAAAAATAGAAAAAGAGCAATAATGAAAACATCCACATGATAAGAAAGATAAGTTATATAGTTAGAAAATTATATGACCAAAAATTTTATTTATTTTTATAATGTATAGAAGAAGTCATAAATTAAAAATAGTAAATTCTTTGATACAGTAAAAAATATGTTTGCAAATTTCGATTGTAAGCGAAAAGATCTGGTATTGTTTTATGATTAAAAAAAGACGAGAATTTTAAAATTATCTAAAGAAAAATTTCTTTACAGCATAGTATATGATTTAATTTAAATTTTATTTTTAAAATATTTAAAAAAAAAAATTATAAATAATATTAATATTGATATAAAATATTTATCATTATAATTAACTATATATATATATATATTTTATATATTTATATATATATATTTATATATTTTTTTATATATATATTTTTTTTATATTTTTAATTAATTTAATTATTTTTAAATATTATTTATATTTTATTATTTTTATGATAACTTAAATATTTAGATCATGCTTTTCAATTGGAGCTAATTCATCTTTTGAAAAGGTTTAACTTAATAAAAATAATTATAATCATGAATTTTTTTATAATATAAAATTAAACCCTTTACATTTTTTTTAATTTAAAATACAAAAAAAAAAAATATAACATAATTTTATTATAAAGTCAAGACTTTAAGCCACTTATGCAGGAGATTTCGAACCACCAAATGAATATGATATATAAAGTTAAAAATATTAAATTAAAATAAAAACTTTATACAATAATAAAAATAATATACAGAAATAATAAATACATTATAAGGAAATGATAACGAAACAAGACCTTAAATAGGATATAGTACTATTGTATCTAAACTATAATATAGTGAATCTAAAAATAGATGGAATTATATTGTAAAAAATCTGTTAATTTTAGATTATTGTGTTGAAGAAAGATGTTTTATAAATGATATATAATTTTTGAAAATAACCCATGTAGAAAATTATAAAGATTAGGACCCCAAAAATAGTTATTTTTTTATTTATACATATCATAAATTTAATTTTTAAATAATTAATATAATAGATGCTATACTTATTGATTATTTTATAAGAAAATATTTTTAATATATTAAAATTAGAAGTAAATTGTTTTCGTAAAAGTCATTAAGTTATAATGTACCAAGATATGAAAAAATGAAATATTTTAGAAATATTTCTTATGAATAAATTAAAAGTGAGATTGAGTTGGCTTACTCTTTATTTGATCTTATTTTTGAATTAGAAAGCCCCAATAGAAATTTTTCTTAAGGTATATTAATATAATAAATGTTTTTATTTTGATTCATTTTAAATTTATTTTTTAAAAGAATGGAATTAAAATTAAGGTTATTTATAATATCCGCTTAATAAATTCGTATTTTCCCAAATACTTTATTAATAAATTAATTTATATACTTAAGTGTATACTGCTATAATTATTGTTTTTGGTAATTTTATATAATAAAATTAATTATTTTATTTGTAAAATCAATCAATTTAAAATAAATAAAAATTTTAAAAAAATAAATAAAAATGATTTTAAAATCATTATTAAATTAAAAATAAAATATAATATAAAATATTAAAAGAAATTTTTATATTTTTTTTTAATATAGAAAAGCTTAATACTTTAAATATAGATTAACTTTATAATTTTAAATAGACATATGTATAATTTATAAAAAATAGCCAATTGTTTGTTTAACTTCTAGAGTTTTATAAATTTATTTAAGGATTCGAATAGATCAATCCAAATGATTTTTATAAAGCAGAAAATTAAACTTTAAACACTCTAAATGATTATATAAGTGCATTAGAAAAAAGAAATGCATAAAAATTACCTGAATAAGATGTTATATTATTAAAGTTTGAAGATAAAGATATAGAATTAGAACAAATAAAAATATATAATTTAAATTAGGAACAATAATATCCTAATTAATTAGACAGATCATAATAAAATATTAAAATTGTAGACTCAGAAATATTTAATTCAGAAGACTTAAGCTTACTGAAAGATTAAAATAATCAAAATTCATATTTCAATTTGAATAAAGAATCTCTAATAAAAAAAAATTCATAATATAAACATTAATTCTTAGAAAGTAATGAATTGAAAAGCGAATTCAATATAAAAGTATTTGCAAACTTTATAAATTTATATAGTTATTCTGAAGAAAATAATTAAGAAGAAAATAATAAAGAAATAACTCTTTAAAAACCAAGAATTTAATTAAGTTTATTAAAAAACTATATTTAAATTAAAAAATAAGATGGAAAATCCCATGGAATCAATAAAAAGTAAGATTCATAATATAAAAATTGTTTCAAAAATATAATTTAAATGAATGTTGATATATTTGTAAATTTTCAAAGTTAATATAGTAGTGAAAGTTTTAAATATTATTTATAAAATGAAGAAAGGGTAAAAACTTATCATGATTTATAAAAATTAATTCCTTTTAAATAACATAATATGGAAATAATAAAAAATCAAGAAACTGAAAACTCTACAGATTAATAATTTGCAAAAGAAAATGATTAAAATTAATAAGAAGAGCTTATAAAACTTAATAAAAATTAAAGTATTAGCCTTATTGATAAAAGTGAGATTATATTTAATTAATAATTATTTGAAGTTTAAAGCACTTAAAATAAATAAGTTAGTTCAAATATAGAAGATAATAATTAAGAATAATTGCTTTAGTAATAAATGTAATAATATTTATAAGCACATTAATCAGAAAATAATGTTCTTTTTGTCGATTAAAAACAGTTAGTTATTAGTAATATTTTAAATGAAAACTCTTAAATTAATAATGTTAATAGTACAATTAATAGCAATAATATTTAAATATAAACAAATGAAAATATTAATAATTTAGAATAATTATTATAATAAATGTCTAATATTAAAAGTTAAAATGATGAAAATCTTTTATTTAAAGATACTAACTTTTAAAATTAATTAATTCAATAAAATAATAATTAAATAATTTAAAACGAAAATAAAGACATAAATTAAGAAGAAGAAGAAGAAGAAGAAGAAGAAGATTATAGTATGTAAGAAAGTAAATAATAATAAGGAGAAAATCTACAATAAGAAAATAATAAAGAACTATAAGAAAATCATATAAAATTTGAAGGGAATAATAATGATTTAAAAGAAGATAATAATGATTTATAAGAAAATAATAATTAATTCGAACAAAATAATATATATATGGAAGGAAATAACTAAATCTAATAAAATTAATTATATGAAGAAAATTAATAGATTTGTTTATAGGAGTTAAATTAAAAAGAATAAGAAAATTAAGGTTATGATTTTTAAGAAATAAATAAATAAAATCGTAATGATGAATAAATATAATAAGTTTAATTATAAAATATATGTTAATAAGATTAAATTATTTAAATTGAAGAAGAAGGAAAAAAAACATAAGAATAATAAAATTTACCAGAAGAGAAAAATTGTTTATTTAATAATAGTTTAGAAAATAAACATAATTATAAAGAATTAAGAAATGAATAAACTGAAGAAATTTAAATCAATTGCTAGGATTAAATAAAAATTGAAAACTAAATAAATAATAATAATTAATAAAAAATAGTTTAAGATAATTTTATATTTCAAGAGGAATTAAATGATAATGTTTCATAATAAATAAGTGAAATAAAATAGACTAAAGAATTATATTAATAAAATGATATATCTTAAACTAATGAATAAAATTAAAATGATAATATATAAGAAATAAATAAAAATATTTAAAATAATGAATAAATTGAAACAATTAAAATTTAAGAAAACAATAAAGAAAAAAACAAAAATAAAAAAAATAATAAGAATAAAAAAAAATAGACATTTTAAAATGATTAATAAAATTTACAAAATGAAAGTAATTATATAAATGAATATACTCAAAAAACTTAATCAAATGAAAATATTGAAAATAAAAAATAATTAGAAGAAAATACAAGTATTTAATAAAATAATAATTAAAATTTAAATAAAGATTTAGTTGGATAATAAAATAAGTTTTAAAACGATGAATAAAAATTAGATACTTAAGATTAGGATACAAACTAGCTTATATTATGAAGTTTAAATAAAAAATTATATTAAAAGGTTTTACATAATAATTTAAACATAAAATATTTTTCATATAAATAAAATATTTCAAAAATAAGATAATTATATAAATTTATAATATATAAATAATTTTACAATTATTAATTAATTTTATTAAAATTAAAAAAGTTTAATTTTAACTTTAAGTATTAATCTAATTTATAAAATATTAAATTAATATTTTAAACATAAAATTAAAGTAAAATTTCATTTAATATAAACGAAAATTATAATATAATATTTTCATATACTTTTATCTTTATTTGTAACACCAACGATATTTTAAGTAAATATATTTGATTAGTTTTCCTATATTTTAATTTAAAAAATACTAAAAAAAAATTATATAATATTTTTATTTACTAAGAGCTTTTGCTTGTAGATATAATTTGCTGTTAATTTTTACTGTAAAAAATATTCATTTTTATTTAATTATTAACTCTCTAAATTAATAAATAAGTAATAAATTTATATATATATATATATATTTTTTTATTTTTAAAATACATTTTCATTTAAAGATGTATATTTTTTATCATGCATTTATTACTAAAACATTTATATAAATTCTTTTCTTTTTCTATTTATTCTCTTAATCCTTAATGTTTTGCCTAAATCTCACAAATTTCTATTGCTTTCTTTAATAAATACATTATTTAAAATAAATAAGAAAAATAAGAAAAATACATCTTTATTATCCAATGTTAATTAATTTTTTGTTTTTTCTATTAAATATTGCTTTTCTTCTAATTTCTTTATTTTATTTTTCAAATCAAAACATACTTAATATTATTTTTTTATTAATAAATTACTTTTAATTTTTTCCTTTTTTCTCTAATGTCGTATAAGATATTCATTTCAGTTTCTTTCCATTATTTTAATTAATTTTCATATAATTTAATATTCTTATTATATTCTTTTATCTTTTATTTATAATTATTAATTGCCTCGTTTTCATCCATTTTTAATTTGTCAAAATTATTTATTAAATTAAGTGTTTTATCTACATTTATTTATTCTTAATGGCTTTCTATATTAATAATTGTTAGACTTTTTTAAGGATAATTATTTAAAGACTTATACATTTATTCAGAATGAGCAATAAATGAGTTAGTTAATTACTAGCTTATAAGTGATTGTTTTTTATGTAAAACTGATTAATAAGGACTCCTTATAATATGAGCAGTAATAGGTCTTGAAACATTATTAGGTTTATGATTAGAATTAATTGTTTCTAATGTATTTAAGTTTTAATAGTAATTTGATTTATTTGGTGATGCTTTAAAGCTATTACTTGTATTTATTGTTATATTCTTATCCGATTTATATAGGTTATTAATATTACAACATCTTTTATTTGTTTTTAAAAATAAAAATAATTTATTATTTTACATATGATTTTCTGGTATTTCAAATTAATTTTAGTTTAATTTTTCTATTATATTATGTTTTTTGGTATAATAATTATTCTTAATAGTTTGTTTCATTTTTATTATATGTAATTATTTTTATTTATATAATAATTTTATGTTTTATTTATAAATTTTTAATTGTATGGTTAGAAGTTAAAATTATATAATTTTATATTTTTAATATTTTTAATATTTTTTTTTATAAATTAATTTTATTTTTAAAAAAAAAAATTATGTATTGATATTTTAAATAAATAAATAATTAATATTATATTTTTATAATAAATATAAAATTATATTTTTTTAAAAACAAATATTAATAGCAATAAAATTCATAGTTGAATTTTTATTTTATTTTGTTTAAGTAATATATTTATTTAATATAATTTTTATTATAATTATATAAATAAAAAACATGATTGATTTATAATAAAATAATATTTAATAAGAAATTAGCAAAACTAATGAAAACAAAATAATTCCATTAATAATATTAAAAAAAAATTCTGGTGATAAAGAAGATATTTTCGAAGATCCTGAAATAGAATTTAATAAAATAAACTCTTTTGAGAAATAAGATTCATTTTCAGAAAAGTAAAAATAGTTGAGTATTATATTTTATAAAGAATACATAAAAGATGAATAACCGTAAATATAAAATGAATAAGAACTAAAACAAATTAATAGAAATATTCTTTTCTTTAGTATAAAAAAGTAAGTAAGTATAATCGAAAATATACCAGAAGAAGAGAACCAATAGAAACGAATTGAATAAATGTAATTTAGAATAAAAGAGAAATTAGATTAAAACATTTGTAATAATTATTATTTAAATAATCTTTATAAAGCTTTAAAAGGAGACTCTTAATTTTAAACAAGTAATGAATTTATAGATCATTTTATGGAAACTTATTAAATTTTAACAAGTATTTTTGCTGATTAAAAATATATTGAAAGTTTTCCTAGTTTAAAGGAATAATAAAAAGTATGTATTTAGCCGAATATAAGTAATAAAAAAACTCTTGTTTTAGATTTGGATGAGACTCTTTTACATTGCAATTAATCTTTGGAATTACCTTATGATTTTTTTAATTTAATTTCGAGGAGGAAAAAAAATAGTAAATGAACTTATTTAAGTAGGTATTAATATAAGACCTTATGCTAGTGAGTTTTTAAAATAAATTAGTTAATTTTATGAAGTTATTGTTTTTACGTCTAGCAAAAAAGTTTATGCTGATTAGGCTATTAATTTGTTAGATCCTGAGAAATAGTTTATTAGTTTTAGAATTTATAGAAAAAATTGCCTACTTACAAAAAATGGATATATAAAAGACTTAAGTGTTTTTACTAATAGAAATATAGATGATATTATAATTGTTGATAATAATTGCTATTCGTTTATTAAAAATTTGAAAAATGGAATTCCTATAATTCCATTTATTAATAATAAAAATGATAAAGAATTACTATATTTGTTATAATTTTTAAAAGGAATATATAATTAGAATGATATTGTAACGAAAACAAATTAAATTTTTTAACTTGATAAATATTAAAATTATGATTAAGCTTTTGAAATTTTAAAATCCCTATATTAAATTTCATTTGTTTGAATTTTTTTTATATATATGATTTTTTTAAATATAATATTTGTATTTTTAAATATAACAAAATATTATATATTTAAATTATTTTATTTTTATAATTTATTTTTTTATATTAAATATTTTTATTTATCTTTAATTTTAGTCTTATTTTATATGATTTTTCATTCAATAATAGATTGATAAAACTCTATGATGGTTTTTAATATTATGCCTGTTTTCTTCACCTTTTTACCATAAAATCCAGTCGATTTCAATAGAATGTAAATCTTTTCCTTTTTATTTTAAATATTTTTTTAATTCTTCTACACTATATACAGTACAAGCCCTAATTTCAATCTTTTACCAAATAATAAATATATTAATAAATAAAATTATTAAAAGTACTTCATATTCACTTCCATGTTAAATAATTGTTTTATTATCAATAATATTTTAAAGTTCATTTGAATATTAAATAACTTAAAATTAATTAAGAATTTGAGGAACTCTATAATCAGGAAAAGTAGTCAACTAATCAATATCATAGAATTCTCCAAAAGACTAGCCTTTAAAAGCTCCAAATAAATCTGCAACAAGAATTTAAGCCCTTTTATAAAAGCAAATTTAATGTCCTTAATAAATGGCAATATCTTAAAAGTTATTAAAAAAACTTGTAAGTATATCTACTAGCTTTATATTTTTTTTGTTTTTTTTTAAAAAAAAATAAAATAACAAATTTAAATAAAAGTACTTTAACCGAGGATTTATTTGCTTCTTTTATTATATTAATATATTCTCCTTAGAAATAATTTAAAGTTATTTTTCCTATTTCTTATAAAAGTCTAGTCCTTTCATCTATTAGGGGAAAATCAATATTTTTGAATACTTATTCTTTTATAAATTATTCGTTTATGTTAATTATGTTTTTCGGAAGAACATCTTCATAATGGTTAAAGATCAAATTCTTTACTCCATTTGCTAAATCATCATATTCGAATTCTTCTTTACAAGGCCAAAAACAAAAATTAAGAGTATCTAAAATAAATATATAGGCTATTGTTTGTTCAGGGGAATTAAAATTTGAATAATGACATCCGTATTCTTCAAACTCGGTGTATTTGTATCCTTTTTAGAATTAATCTAATAAATCATCTGCCAATTACTTTAAATTTTAGATGTTTACTTGAGAATGTTTAGCATTTTTCAAAACATATTCAGATGTTTATCTTACTAATTAACATTTATTCATTTTTTATTTTTAAGATTTACTTTATATTAATTGATAAAAATTAATATATTTTATAATAAATTAAATTAATATATAAATAAATAAAAATAATTTTTAAGAAAATAAATACAAAATGAAATTTTCAAAATTAATAATTATTTTCAATTTATGAATTTTTTAAAAATTAAGGTTCATAATAAGGTAAACTGCAATATTAAGTTTATAAATTATCAGAAAATTGATATTATTAATCCTAAATATTTTATTTATCAAATATTTTATTACTTTTTTATATATTAGAATAATTATTAGATTAAAGAACTGAATAATTAAAGTTTTTCGGAAATTGTTTAATTTAACAATCCTATTCCATAAAAATCCTTTAAAGCTTATCCTTTACTAAATTTAACTAAATTCTTTCTTAAGGATTATATTTAACCATATTTTCAATAATTTCTTTAATTTTATCCAAATAATAATTACTTCCTACTGTATATTCGGTTATTATAAGATTAAATCCTTCATAAATCTTTTTATCCCGACAGAAATCTCCCTCAGAAGGATCTATATTAAAGAAAAGGTAATTAAAAAGCATTCCTAAACTCCATATATCTCCATATTAATCACCTTTTTTTTTACTTAAATTTTCAGGAGATGTAAACCCTTGAATAAATTTAAGAATGTTTTCTTCGTTTTCTTAAATATTTTCTTCTATATTAACTTCTTAAAGGTGCGCTTAATCTTCATTTTCGAATTCCCATCCATTTAAAAAGACTTTAAAATTTTTATTTAATAAAATTTTAGAAGGCTTGATTGCATTTACATATATATCGGCTTAATGTAAATGCGATATAGCTTCAGAAATTTATATTGCAATTAAAATTTTGTCTTATAAATTTTGTAGTTTATTCCCTTTCAAAACCATTTATAAATTAAAAGGTAACAAAGGATAAATTAAGAATATTTCAAACTAATCATTTTATAAGCTTCTGCATGAATAAGCTTTTATGAATAACAAATGGGACTCTAAATTGGTTTTTTAAACATTTTTTACAGAAGTAATTTTAGCTTCTAATTTTTTTATTATTTTTTCAACGTTATTGAAATTATTTATTATAATTTATTTTAATATTATTGCATCTGCTTATTATATTTATATATCTAAATAAATATTTTATATATGATTTTTAAATGATCGGAGATTATTTATAGATGATTTTTATTAAAGATTATTATTAGAATTCATTATAACGCCTTCACTTGTAGAATAGAGACTTCCACGATGAATTAAATCTAAAATAAATAATTTTTCAAATTAAATAAAATAAATAGAATGTTTATTATTTAAAAATTATTGCTCATTATTAATTTATTACTATTATTATTATAATATTTATTGCTATTATTATTAGTATAATTATTATTATTATTATTATTATTATTATTATTATTATTTTTATATTTATATTTACTATTATTATAATTCAAGTTAATTTTATTGTTATTCTTATTATTATTTTTATTCTTATAGCTATATTGATTTTTATTGTTATGGATATTATAATTGTTATTGTTTTAGATACTGTGATTGTGTTTATTATTGTTAATATTGCTATTATTATATAATTTTTGATTATTATTCTTTATTTTCATATTTATTATTTTTATTTAATTTACAATGGCTACTTTGAAGAGATCTTATATCCTATGACATTTCTATTTATAAATTATTTTTAGATATTTATTCTTTATCTTTTTTTTTATTTATTTCATTCTAGTTTAATGTTTAATTCAATTGATTTGTTTATTAAAAATTATCCATTTGTTATTATGTTTCTTCTATTTGTGATATTTAATTTTATTAACTTTTTATGATATTATAGTTTATTGCAAAATATTAACTTGCTAATCCTAATTAATTTAGTTTTTTTTCTATTTTTATACAATATATTTCTAGTTAAATAGTTCTTACACTTTTAAATTGTTTAATTTATGCTTTATATAATTCTATAGCTTTTTTATAATTATCATTTGACTTTTCTATATCTTTTTTAATTTTTTAATTTATACGACCAATATAATATAATGATATTAAACAGCCACATACATCATTATCATTTTATAGACGCTTTTCAAATTATTACTATGATAAATTAAATTAGTCTTCAAATGTATTACTAAATATATAAATAAATATAATTATATTAACTTAATATAGATATAATATAATATGATATTATATTTATTAGTTATTTATATTATATTTATTTTTAAATTAGAAATTTTTACAATTTTATTTTTTAATAATTTAATATATTATATTTTTATTTATAGTTTTACTTATACATATTCATTTTTTGCATTATTTTACCCATAGTATAATTAGAATAAGCATATAAGTATTCATTTTATTTATTTTCAATTAAGTCTTCTTTAATAACTTCTAAAGCTTTTCTAAAGTTAATATCTTAAGCAATACCTAATTCATACATTTTACTTTAAACTCTATTGATTAATGCTTTTTGAGTTTACATATTACACAATTATTTTTGTTTATTAATATTATAGATAACATCACAAATATTTTTAATAATTATCCATAGAGAGTTTTTATCTTATTAAGTGAAATATTTAAAAAATAAATAAATTTCAAAGAATAGAAATCTGATATTAACCAGTAATTAATGTTCAACTTTAATTTTACTTAATATATTTACATCTTTAAGTATAATATTAAATACATCTTCTAAACATTCTTTTGAAGCTTTTTCTGCTATTCTAATAATTTTAAAAATGCATTTGTCTTTGTTTTCGGTTTTCCTGCATAATAATTTAAATGTATGTAAAAGTGAAAATTAATCTTAATATTTTTCCACATTTAACTCTAAAATATCAAGTAGTTAATTATATTTTACTTATGAAAATTCTTTATTGCAATACTAAAGATCAAATAAATATCCATAAATATGAATGTATTCTTAAGTAAAACATTGCTAATATTTGGACAAATATTCGTCGCTTATAGATGTCCCTAATTTATTTTTAGTTATTAACTTTTATAAATCATCTTTTATTTCTATTTAAATATTATTGTATTGCAAATCTACTAAACTGGCTGCTATTATTAAATAAAATAAAGACTTTTCTTAATCTGCCTTTACTTTTATATTAGTTTTGTTATTTTTATTATATATTTAAGCTAATTTATATGCACATAGTGAATCTTAGTATTCTTCAAAGCCTTTTATGTATATTTGAAGCGCCTTTTAAGGGTCTGGATTTTATAAAAGAATACCATATTCAAAATATAAACCTCGAATTATATAATGAAATGTAGATTATAAAGATCCTTAATATTAATTGTTGTATTTTATTTGCATTGTACTTAGTTATTGTATATAAGTACTTTTTGAAATTTATTTATTTTATTCCATTTCTTCAAATGATATAAATTCTTCTATAATATTTGAAGAAAAAAATGGCTAAAATAACTTTTGCCAATTTGTGTCAGATAATTCAAAATTTATTGACATTTTTTAATAAATTTTATATTATTTCTTTGGTTTTATTAATATTTAAAAATGATTTTAAATATTATTTATTTAAATTTAATATTAATCTTTAAATTAATTAATTTAATTAAATAGTTTTATTAATTTTACTATATAAAATATTCTTGAAGACAAATAAATAAAAACTATTGAAATTGAATATTAATATTAATAATATTATTTTATATAATTGTAAATAAAATTTATTTATAATTATTATTTACTATTTAAATTTATTTTGTTTTTCAAAAAATATAATTTTGATTTTATATTTTATTTTAGCAAAAAGTAAATAAAATGAATTTTAACGATTATTTAGAAAATAATATATACGAAAGTGCAGAAAACATAAATTTAAGTAATGATTTTCGGTAAATATAATCAAGATTAAAAGAAGTAGAATCAAAGAACAAATCAATATTAAACTAATTAAATTACATAAATCCAATCGTATATAAAGCTAAATAGTTTTCTTCAAAACGTTATTAGTCATAATCTCCACAAAACTAGAAACGTTCAGTTCATCAGATATTGACTTTTTAAGATAATTAAATAAATGAAGGAAACCCGTTTGAAATAAAAGCAATAGAAATTCCATAAAACAAACGTTATTATGAAACTTATAAAGGTATAGAAAAAGAATAAATATTAAGATAAAAAAATACAAATATTACATAAATTAATACTGTTTAAAAAAATAAATTTGTTTAATAAGAGTTCTGTTAAAAAAACTAAGAAATATAAAGACAATATTTATAAATGTGTAAAAATGAATAATTTTATGAAAGAAATATTTAAGAAAAATAATAAGAAATAGATATTTTAAAAACTTAAAATTAATAATTAAATGAATTAATTAATGATTTCGAACTTAAATCTTATGAAAAAAAGAAAAATCTGTAAAAACTTTATAAAATTGTTACTGATAAAGAAAAAGAAATTGAAAATTTAAAGTTTTAATTGATTAATTTTAATCAATTAACTAAAGATTAGTTAAAAAATGCTATTTAGAAAGTAGAGATTGATATGAATTTTAAATTCTCTTTACTTTTTGATAATTTGGATAATAAAAATACTATTCTGGATAATTTATAAGATTAAGTTTAAATATATGATAATATTAGAAAAAATATTAAAAATAATTAAACAGAAATTAATAAAAGTCTAAAAGAAATTTTAAACTTTGTAAATGAAATTAACACTAAATTAATTGAAGAAAATTTTCAAAAAATAAATTAAAAATTAGATGAAATTTAATAAAAAAAACAATATTTAAAATATGCGTTTTCTAATGATAAAACTTATTAGAATTCAGATGATGTTTTTAACATGCTCAATTGCTTAGATTAATAAATTGCTTAATTGTAAAAATGGATTAAACTAATTACTCATTAAAAAGAACATAATGAAATATAATTTTTTAAATAAAAAAATAATTAAGAACTTGATATTTTAGTTAATTAAAATTAA